GCCTCATCGCTTATGACATCATCCTTGTTTGTCATAAGCTTTCACATTGTGTGCTCAATTTGGGTCACACTCTAAAGCCATGGAGCCCATTGAGTGCACAATGTGTGCTCATCAGATTATGTTATGTTGCATGATTGCTGATTATCACCTTGTGTGTCTTGATGGTAGATTTGACTGATTAGGTGAGTGATTATCACCTTGTGTTGATTAAAATGCTTTAACAAGCATTGATTGCTGGGTAAGTCTTTTTGACCAATGTGGCTTATTGCATCTGGTTGAACGCATATATGAATATGCTAAAGTTTTATGGAATTTAATATATGTGACCTTGCGGGTCAGAAGATCTCATTTAATAGCCCGCTTTATTTTCAAAACTATGCACTTAGTGAAACTAGGCCATATGTGTGGCCAAATCATTCGGACCCCCATGGATTCTTAGGACGATGTTGGTATCAACAACCTCATCAAAGTCATATGGTTAGTCTTTAACCTTGTGCTACACCTGTACTTAGAAGTTGTGGTTAGTTCATTTTTGTTGTGTGGTGTGCTAGGCTAGAGCTAAGATGCTAAGTAGTATTTTGTATGTCTGATGATAGTTCATTGCAAGTTTGGTTATTCTAGCCAGATATCTATACCAAGTTATGAATTTTAAAAGTTTTACTTAATTTTTTGGATTTAAATAAATTAAAAAAAATATTTATTCACTTAAACACACAACGCTGACTGGATCCTCAGAGACATCAAATGTCGGCATGGTGCTCCATAATTAGGTGTGCTTTCCATGTGGATGTCACTTTGTCCCATGATCCGGTGCTTCCCTCCTAGCGATTTGGTGCCCTGATTTAGTCTCTGTCATCTTCCTCTAATACACGGAAATGGTCAGCATCCGTTCATCATCCCCATGAGACAGAGAACCACGAACCATCCATAATTGAACCTTAAGATCTCACTTGGTGCTCAACTAAATCACTTGTGGTTTGTTCCTATAGTTTCATCTAAGTTAGACGAACATTTGTATACAATTCAATGAGCATGGAGTGTTCATTTCTTTCACAAAAGACCAAACCTAAAGCTAATTTTTGGGATTTTGATCCATACCTTTTCCCAAGCGGTGTGGCCTTGATTAGGCTTGACAGAGAGCTTCATGATGATGTCATGAACCTCCTCCCTATCTCAATTTGACTTGAAATTGACCCTAACTAGATTAAATGGTGGATCGGGTTGGTGTTGGGATAGGTTGGAGAGCTCGTGAAGCTCTAATTTGGATTGACAAGTTTATCTTAAGGCCTAGGGAAGCTTTTGGGTGGTTTAAATTTAAGTTTTGAACGGGTTCATGTCAAGGCCAAAAATTGTTCTGGATTAGGGCAAAGAAATTAAGGCTTGTTAGTGGTTGTGGTGGCCTGAGGGTATGGGGGATCAATTGCTTATGTCAAGAGGGAGATTTTCTCTGTTGAGAGACATAGGTTTGGGAGGATTAATAGGGTGTTTAATGGTGTGTAGAGGCTCTCGGGTTCCTTTCTTAAGTAGCCATGAGATGCCATGGGAGGTCTTGGCTATGATTGGAAAAGTTTGGGCCATTCTTCAGAGATTTCTCAGAGAGATTTTAGAGGGTTTTGAGTAGTGGAGGGAAACTATGCAAGTTTTAATGGCGGCTTGACCATGGTGGGGAGCATGGAGATGAGGGCGACATTGGAGGGTGCTCTAAGCAAATTGGAGGCCTCTTAGGTGGATAATATAGATCATATATGATCTGCCCATCACGTGTTGGGCTTGACCCATCACGTGTTGGTCAAAGGGGGCTTGGGATAGATGACATGTGTCCCTCTCATGGATGAGTCATGATGGATGATGCCAAACTCACCAATCTAGGGTTGGATTGACCCTTGTTTGGCTTGGTGTGTCACCCATGGGTCATGGTAAGTGGGTATTGGGTCATGGGTGACCCGTTAGGAATGGGGCATGAGCCATGGGTTTGGGTTGGGTCTCCTCTTTGGGTTTGAATTTGTGTTAAATGGTTTGGGTTTTTTTTTAGCCTAGACCCTAATAGAACTTAAAAGTCCACATAATTAATTAATTATTTATTTAATTCAGTGAATTATAGGGGTTGACCCCATGGTGGCGATTAGGTCCTCTACATGGTGTGGTGTCATGACCATGTTGTGTGAGGCTCAATTGGATGGGGATGTGGTCAATTGGTCCAACTTTTGCTGAATTTGGGGTAGGCCCAATTGATTTTAACCATCCCAAGGTGCCATCAAATTTTGGGGTCAAAAGTGCACATTAGGGTTTAAGGTAATTTTTAGGGTTTAGTAGGGTTATGGAGTCCTTTGGTGAGGAAGGCTCGGGATCAATTTTGGTAGACCCACTCCCAAAGTGGATTTCATGGTTAAGGTAGTTCCAAGGGTCAATAGGCAAGCCTCTAGTGTTTTGGGTTGATTTGGGTTACCAAGCGCATGTCTTGCCCATGGTGGTCAATTTGAGTTCCTCACCTAGTTAAAAACCCTAAACCCACTCAACCAAGGGTTGGGGCCTTGGGCTTGCACTGGTGGGGCTCAAGAAAGGCATAACTTTGTTTTAATGTGATATGTAGGTAAGTGGAGTGAGTCCTCACAAAAGTGAGGTCAGCATAAATAAAAAGAAAAGGCTACTTTTGTCGCATTGAGAATGATGACCTTGCAAGACATTAAAAAAATAATAAGTTTTTCAGAACACCTATAGGAGTAATTTAAATAAAACCTTAATTGAATAACTTGTTGAGCAGAAGAAAATTAAGAATAAATCGAACACATGGAATTATAACACACCACTTAACAAAATTCTTCATTGATGTGAATTATGAGTGTGATTATATAAAGATACAAAATAAGTGATTGAATGAGAAATCCTCATCGAGAGTTCAAACATATTAATGAAATGCTGAAATATAAGAAAATTTTCTGTAGGTCCTCCAAAACTAGCATGAGAAAGCTAATCAAACTGTCCAATCAATAAAAGTAATGATCATAATACCTTTGTTAACTAACATGAATTAACTGAGTAAGAAAAATGAAGAAGAAAAGAAAAATGCAACATGAAGATGAGGAAAATGTAGAGGAGATATGGAATGGCTCATTTACATGTCAACAGAAATATTATTCCTCTTGGGGATGACGAATCAGAGAGAAACCAAGAACTACATAAGACAAGAAGTGAAGCAAGGAAAGCATGCAATCAACAGAACAATTTTGAATCTCTTATTTCAAAACAATGGAACTTTTGAGAGGAGATGATTCCAACTTGCCACAAGTGGTTGGATGGCGGGGGACAATTGAGATTAGTTGAAGCTAAAAATGATGTAAGGACAAAGCGGGGAAATCACAGCAACAAAAATGATGAGCGAATCAAACTATAATTTTGATGTTTCAATTTACCAAACCAGGAACATAGGCCTAAAGCCATTGAATTCCCGTGTTTAAAATTTGATCAGAAAAGGTGTTGTGGTGGAATAAAAATTGGAAGAAGATGTTATCCCTGCGAAGCTACATCATTTTAAAATCCAGTGATATTAAATTCAAAATTCCATAAGAAGTGTTTGGTATCTTTCATTCAGGATTTAAACTAAAAATGAAGGCGCTTGATGCCGAGGAAGGTAGCGAATACATAATAATTGATATTGTTTTAGCTCTTCCTCGGCAGGAAATTATTTCGAAGAAATTAATTCGAAGCAATGTACTCAAATACTTTCTGCTAAATATTTCTATAAAAATATCCTATCCGGACGTTCGCACCATCAATCACCGGTGGTCATGTCACAGCTGCTGACGTATATGACGATGTGGTTGCCAGTTAGCCGTACTGTATCCCGACTAAATTTTCTCTCTCATTATATAGGATTTTCTCACATTTTTTTCTATTTTGTCTTTACGTTCTCCATTCTTTCAACTTAAAATCCGATTTATTAAATCTGAGTACATAGATGATTTTTTGTCGCCAATGATAAATCCAATTTTATTAGATTTAATAAATCATACTTGACAGGTTAGAGGTCTAAGAAAAAATAGTGATGTTACATGTGTTGTAAATATGAGGTCATAACTTTTCCTTGATCCTTTGATTTTTTTCACTTGTTCTTTTCTGCATTGGTAATTCCAATTTCAGTGTTTTTGACCTTAGTTTATTTATAAATTCTTACTATGATTATTATTTTGTTAGTGCTTTTTGCTGGCCGATGACAGTTTAAGGGACTGTTTGGGGCAGTTTATAAGTGCGGACGGCGTGTCCTCCCTACCATTTGGTTCGCAAGATTCATATGCTTATCTAAAAACCCTGTTTTATAATTGTTAAACACGATACCCGCGAGATGATCCTTGCGGGCCACGCTTCGCTCTCGTAAGCAGAAAGATTATTCCTGCCGTGCCCTGCTTAGCTAAGAGTTGCGGATGTGGCATATAATTTTCATGAACAAATTTGATTTCCATTTTGGTTCATAACCAGAGAAGGAAGGATCCATATGTTTTGGTGAACAAATTGTTATTAATGGTAGTTTTAGATGCTTGAATGTTAGCAAATTCAGATTTTTATTACATAGCCATTGACGCACGATTGTTCATTAAAATAGCTTCCCTTGCCCTTGGCATTGTCATGAAGTCACTCCATCAAATCTTGAGGTGGTTAGTGGCTTAAAGCGATGATTTTTATTCAAAATGGAAGTCACAACAGGATACATTAATCTTACTATTAAGTCTAAGTTGTCTAAAACTACTTCATATGTTTTCCTTTGTTCTCAATCAACATAAATTTTTCCTAAAGTTCAGTTGCAACCGAACACCTACTAAATCCAGAATTTTCGTTAAGGTGGAATGAAGGATTCAGCTGAGCTAAAAATACATTCGATAAATTTTCTTAAATTTACACGTAAAGCCATCTTAAAATAGGCTATCGAACAGCGCATCAATTGTTCCCGTCTTTTAAGCCTTTCGCGTATTATATATGTGGACTCAAAAAAATGAGAGGGAGAAAGATCGAAAGAGGAGAAAGTGAGATTTTAGAGAAATGCTGGCGGTGTTGGATAAATCATTGTCGAAGGCGGCAGAAGGGCTGAGAGGCCCTGCGCCAAGCGGCGAGGAGAACGACGCACGCGATGTTGCGGCGCTTCTGCATGACTTCACCGAGGACAAGGAAAGGCAGCTCACGATAAGCCTCGGGTCAGGCGCTGGATTGGCATGGTTTGCCAAGAACGGCAACCTTTTGCTTCGCCAGTGAGTGATCCGCTGGGAATGGGAATGCGATCGATGGTTTTTTTTTCATTGTTTGATGTTTAGCTTGCATAAAATGTGTCATCATTGATCACAGCAAAAATGTATTTTGGTGCGCCCTAAATTTTTTATTTATTTATTAAGAGCTCACCGAAATACATTTTTATTCTGATCAATAGTGGAGATTACCGTATGGAATAATTTTTCCATCATTTTATATGCATAAAACATTAGGGGTTAGTTCACCACATGTGCGGTCCAATAGAAACATTCTCCTACAAAAGAAGTGTATTTCAGTGGGCTTCAATTAATTTTTTTTTTTTCAAAAATTCTGATGAGACAGCGGACGCAATTCAAATCTGGTGTTCGGACGGGATAATTGCCCGTTTGGCATTGGGATTCAAGAAGTATTTACACAACTTTTAACATAAATTCATTTAAATAAATAATGGGAGAAGTTAAATCTCCACCTTGCTAAATCAAAATTTTCTTTTTTGCATTACTTTTTTAACATATAACTGGATTTATTAAATCCGATTATTATATGAATTTAACTGATAATGTGGTGTTTAATAGCAATAGGAATTTACGTTAAATAGGATTTATCAAATAGAATAAATCCGATTGCTGTGTCGACGAAGAAGAACCTCGTGAGCGGCGATAAAATTAAATTTGTAATCTTCCTCGCAATCTAATTTATTAAATCTGGTTTTATGTTGCAAAAGAGACACAATGTGAGATATAGAGACGGAGCGCAAGATTTAGAGGCGGAATGCCATAAAATTTCATCCAACTTGTTTGGCTGAATTTAAGTTAATTCCATGACTAAATTAATAGGATGCTATCAAGCACCGCCTTAGTCTAGGAAGAAAATAAATCTCTAAATTTAAGCCAAACATAATAAATAATTGTAATAGATTTAATATTAAATATAACCAAACATTTTTGAATTTACAGCATTTGGATTTCATAAATCTGCATTTTACTGCATAAATCAGCATTTGAATTTCATATTTCTTTTCTTTGTTTCTCTTCCCTCTTCTCCTGCTATGTTCTTGTCATTGTGTTTAACTTTTCTAGCTGTAGGAATATGTTTTTTTGCAAACTACAAGGATTAAATCATTGTTTTGGGGGCTTTTTGGGTACAATTAGAATATAGTAGTATATCCTAAAAACATTTTTGGTAGATCTCAAGATGATTAGAGCGGAATACTATTAAATATTGCTAAATTATGATCAATCTTTTTTTCCTAGGATTTAAAGTTTGTGAAAGGAGAATTTCTTTAATCCCCTAAGTCCTATGAATGATGTAATTCATTAAATCATGAATATAATCAATAATGCGACTAAAATTGGATTTATTAAAACAGTAAGATTCATAGTTTTTGGAATTCAAATTGTAAGGATTTAAGTTAAATCTTGCCAAAAATTGGGATACCAGAAAGGCCCCAAAGATAATTTGAAGCTCAACTTGCACATTATATTTACCATAAGACCTTTTGGGTTTTGAAGATGCAAACAGAATCATGTTTATAGCTTCAATGTTGTTCATATATTTCTTTTATGATTTACTGAGATGATAGTTACTCTTGAAGCTATTTATATCCTTATTTATTTGTTGTGATATACTCTTTGTATCTTAAACATCTCTTATGTATTGCTTCTGCACTTTTTTTCTAGTGTCCATCTCTGGGATCTCTCTTTTTTATTTATTTTTTGAGATTTAGGTGCCTTTACTTATTGTTTTAACTTTTAGTATGAATTATATTTCCCTCAGTAATCATCCATTATTTTGCAAAATATTTTCTTCCACTTTTCCTTATTTTAATTTATGTGCAATAGTACTTCTTTCCTTCCACTTTGCTCACTACTTAGAGGTCTAATTTTGCTCTATAATGATAAGGTAACTACATTTACAGGTTTTATGCTGTCGTGGATAATATGTTTTGCCTTTTTGAAGGGCGCATTGATAATTTATCTAATTTGAACAAATATTATGGTTTGCACAAGAGGATAAATGAGCCTACCCTTGTAATTGAAATATACCGAACATTAAGAGACAGAGGGCCTTATCCAGCTGAGAAGGTTATAAGGGATATCGAAGGGAGGTTTGCCTTTGTTATACTGGACATGACTGCAAAGTCCACTTTTATTGCTGTTGTAAGCATCTCTTTCTTGCTAATTTCCATGATTTTTCAAAATAGTGCATGGTAACAACGATCTAGTTTTTGAAATCCTCTCAATGAAAGTGCTGCAAATGTTCCAAATTGTTGATCATTAATTTTTTGGAAGATTTGTTTTTTTTGTATAATAAGTATCATTTGTAAGCCTGATAAAATATTTGCTATCGAATGAAATCTCAGTCTTTAATTCTAGATGGTGTTACAACTAAATTTGAATCCAACAATCTCCTAATTAATCCCATCCAACAAATTTGTATTCGTTGGAGGATTACTCTTGCTTAATAATGCCTTGTTCATCTCTTGCTACCACAGGATTATGATTGTACTGTTCCATTTTATTGGGGCGCTGATTCTGAAGAACGTCTTATTTTATCTGACGATGCTGAATTTTTGAAGAAAGCTTGTGGGAAATCATTTGCAATTTTCCCTAAAGGTAATCCCCAAGGAGTTAGAGTTAACAATACATTTCAATATATATATATATATATATGTCATCTTGCCCATGCATAAAATGGTAAATTTCATTATTTAAAATGTGATATAAGGTTTTATATTTTAAATCACTGCTTCTATCAGGCTGCTTTTACACATCTACTAGAGGATTACGGAGTTATGAACATGCATCGTATGAGTTGAAAGCAGTTCCATGGGTTGATAGCCACGGGGATGAGTGTTGGCCCACCTACGAAGTTGACTTCGAGACCAAGAAGCCTACATCGCTTCGTCGGAATGACAGCGACTTTGATTGGTCTGAGGAGTTATAACCTACCAATCCTTTTTCACCCCTATCTTTTCTCTTGCCTTTTATTTTTTTTATTTCCTCGAATAAAATAATTTTGGCAGGGTTTTCTACTTGAAACTCGTCTGTTGGCACTTCTTCTGTGTTATTTGTCTGGATATCTATCTTCAGACATTTCTTTTTTTTTAAATAGTAAAATAAATAGTAATTTTTTTTAATAGGTTTTGGTTGCTCACTTGTTCATTGTTTTGGATTGAAATGGAAATAAACTAAAATAAAATAAAATAAAATAATGTTAAGCCTATAATATTCCATTTTTTATCCTCTTTGGATGCTTTTGCTCTACTTGGAGCCCTTGATGTTGGAAGGGATTAGTTCTTATTTATTGTCAAACATTTGCTATATTATTATGTGGCAATCCTCTCGGTAAGCAACTCATATTTTTAGTTTTTTAATTACAACTTAATCGTATTGTTCTAAATTGCAACAAAATTTAAATCAATTATATATATACCTTGACAAATGAGGGATTTATGAACATACCACCGAATTTTTATGTATTATCGTATCTAGCATATGAACTTTACTTTTATATTTATAACACCCACAATTTTGCTAAAAAATACCATCATTTTAACTTTTAAAAAGTGCAATACATCTTTTCATGCATACGAAAGAAGTATGTATATAAAAATTAAAATTTAGCTGTTAGATATGTTCGAACATATGAATTGAGTGGTATGTAAATATGTAAATCATGATTTCATCAATTAAAGGCATAAAAGTATGACTATTCGTATTACTAAACTTTAATAATTTTAATATAAACTATAATCTTCTAAGATATTGACTAATAATTATTTTTGAAAGCATTTTAAGGTCTTCTGAGTAAAATCACTAAATCATGCAACCTAAGGAGAGTCATTTCTTATTTTGATTTCCTAAATTTACTGGCTAATGAATTGATGAATAAGTTTCTATTAATTGTCATAGAAAATAATGTAACCAAGAAGGCACAGGGACCATAACAAAATCAACAATCTCAAGTTGTTTTGAAAGTGAGTCATTAGCATTTTCAATATGAATGACATGAATTAAGTTGATGATTCTATTGCATGTGTGGTTCTCTTTAATACTTTTGTATTTCATTTATTTCTAATTTTGTAATAAAGATGCTTTTCTCCACCGCTAAGAAGTTATTAGCTTGGGATCCTTAAGTGAATCAATTATTGTATTTAAAAGAGGGTTTAGTAAGTTTATATTCAATGGTTTTAGTATTAAAATGAATGCCAAAATTTAAGGGATTACTCACAAACTATTAAGGCACATATTCTTTCCCTTTTGTAATGTTATTTTAAAATTGGCAATATAAATAGAATTTAATATATTACTTTTTTTCATTATTTGATTAACAATTTTTACTTCTCCCAATGAATCAAATTAAGGTTCCTAATAAAATACTTTCAAGTAATTTGAAAAATATCATGCAAATTAACATAATTTATTCATTTTTAAGAAAAAACATCTACTTAATGGATGGTATGCTGATGTGTAGAAAAGAATGCTTGGATTCCTTTACATTTTTCACATTTTTATGGATAAAATTGCACTTTAAAGAAAGACGTTTTATGATATTCTTGCAGGTACAATGATCTCGACAATATGTGTGTGCTTCGTGTGTAATTACTTCACATTCAATTCCAAGCAACGACGCCAAAAACTTGAATCCCACTGCTTGTGTGTCCTTGCACCCTTAATTCCCGACTGAGTGCTATTTAACAAATTCTTGCTTTTCTCCACAATTCAATTTTACACACTAGGGATACTACACAAGCACACATATTGTTCAAGTAACATAGAGATTTTTTTCAAAAACACTGAGTGACGATCCCACGAGAAAATTTGTTAATTCGTAACAACTTCAGTAAAAGTTATAGTCTACAATAACTTGTCTTAGCCTAAAATTTTTGAGAAGTTTGATTTTCCTAAATTGACTACTTTACTCTAAAATTAAATTTAACTAAATTAAATAAAAACCTAAGCTACGGGGGTTGGTTACATTTTGGAAAGTTCTTATATAATCAAAATTCTTTCCATCTTGCAATGAAGATAATGACATAAGCAGTAGAATAATTTATAGAATTATGTAATAATATTTGTGCCAACAAGAAAAATATGCCCACCTACTCTCTTCTGAGTGTATTGATAAGCTTAAGATTCATTAAGTTTACACAACTACCAGAGATGCGAAGTAAATTAAAAAGCCTCACAACTTATGGTAAGGAAACCATTCACTTACATCAAATGTCACTTAAAAAGACATAAGAGAAACAAATCATTAAGTATATTTCCTTTAAAAGTTGCATCGCCTCCTAACTACTTCATCATAGCATTCGAAAAATGTGAGTGCACTCAAGTTGTGAAGTCGCCGCTCATCTGAGACTTGGTCTCAACTTAGAATATATTTTAATATAACATATGGCCAGTATGTGTTGACCTCACTTTTGTTGAGGTCTAGTCTTTCTTCCTTAGAAGCCTAAGATCTAGCCACAGGACTTTCCTGTTGCCTATCCTATAGGACTAGTAATGGAACCTTCCCCCTAAAAATTCTAAACACTACTTTACTCTTTTTGGAGTTCCACATGCTTGGTTCTAACCTCTAGCATTTAGTAGGATGAAGCTAAAATGGGGGAGCTCAAGAGGAGTCCCCATAGAACTATCTGGCCTTAGGGTTAGCCCTAGGTGATGTGGTCTTGGTCAGTCTTGCACACACACACTTGAACCCCTCACCTTCACTCACAACTTACATCCTAAACCATCCAAGCATGCTTAGCCTGATCCCCTACTCTTTTGGAAACTCATATGGGTGGTCCCCCAAATCTTTAGCCTTTACTAGGATGGTTAAACCAACAAATGGAGGATCCAAAATATGGTTCTCTCGGTCTCATAGGACCATAAGGATAGTTATGTGATTGAATTCCTCATTGAACTCTAATTTTATCTAAATTCCCAATTTTGGCCTTTTAGCCTCAAGCTTTCCCATAATTACCAAAATACCCCTATAACAATAATAACAATAACAACAAAGTCTTAGTCCCACTACGTAGGGTTGGCTACATGAACCCTTTTTCTCCATTGCGTCCTATTTAGTGTCATATTTTCATTTAGTTTTAGTAAATTAAGAACATTTTTTATACAATAAGCCCAAGTCCTCCTAGCTCTACCTTTGCCTTTCTTAACGCAAGTTAAATCTAAAACATCTACTCTCTTAATTGGATCATCAAACGATCCATGCTTAATGTGACCAAACCATCTAAGATGACTTTCTCTAATTTCATTCATCACAGGAGCTACACCAACCCTATCACGAATATATTCATTTCACATTTTTTCTCTAAGTGTAAAGCAAGTGTAAAGTGTAAAGCCACTCATCCACCTAATCATTCTCATCTCGGCAACACTTAACTTATTATTATGCTTCTCTTTTAACGGTCAACATTCAACACCATAAAGCATTGCAAGTTTCATCACCATCTAATAATTTTTTCCTTTTAGTCTAAGCGGTACTTTTCTATCACACAAAAGGCCTGAGCATTCCTCCACTTCAACCAACCAACTTGAATTCTACTATTAACATCCCCATCTATATCACCATCGCTTTGAACAACGGACCCAAGATATCTAAATCATTCACACCTTTTAATAATTTGATCACCTAAATTCACACTTCCGTCACTAGAGTTACTGCTACTAAAATTACATTCCATGTATTCAGTTTTAGTTCTACTTAAATGAAGGTCTTTAGACTCTAATGTAGATCTAATGTAGTTAGACTCTAATGTAGATCTCCATAATTCTAGTTTTTCCTTGGCTTTTTTTCTCGTTTTATCCACGAAAAGGATATCATTAGCAAAAAGCATACACCAAGGTACATCTTCCTGCAGATGTCCAGTAAGACCATTTATAACTAAAGCAAAAAGATATGGGCTTAAAGCCGATCCCTGATGTAATCCAATAGAAATAGGAAAATATTTAGTCAATTCTCCTTCAGTTTGAACACAAGTAACAACTCTAGTATACATATCTTTAATGACTTCAATATAATTCATATCAACACCTTTCTTCTCAAGAACTCTCCAAAGGATATCTCTTGGAACCTTATCGTAAGCTTTTTCTAAATCAATAAAAATCAAATGTAGATACTCCTTATTATCTCTGAACTTCTCCATCAAACATCTTAATAAACGTTTAGCTCCCATAGTAGACCTGCCCGACATAAATCCAAATTGATTATGAGAAATTTTTGTGATGTGTCTTAACCTATGTTCAATTACCCTCTCCCATAATTTTAAAGTATGACACATCAACTTAATTCCTCTATAATTTGCACACTCTTGTGCATCCCCTTTATTCTTAAAAATGGGGACCAAAATACTCTTCCTCCACTCCTCAGGCATCTTTTTAGTTATTAAAATAATATTAAAGAGTTCAGTAAGCCAAGGAACTCCAAAATTTTTTAAATATTTCAGCACTTCAATTGGGATATCATCAGGTCCTATAGACTTTCCACCCTTGGTGTTCTTTAAAGCTTCCTCGACTTCTTTTTTATTAATGCGATGGTAAAAATGAGCCGTTTTCTTATTATTCGGGATATTAAGATCACCAAGGTTGATCATATTTTCAAAAACATCATTAAAAATTTATCAAAATAACTCACCCACCTATGTTGAATATCTTTTTTCTAAGAAAAGTACTTTTTAATTTTCATCTTTAATACACTTTACTTGATTTAAATCCTTACTTTTCTTCTCTCTTTGTCTGGCTAGTTTATACATAAAATTTTCACCCTCCTTAGCATCTAATCTATTATAAAGATCATTAAGAGCAAAATTTTTAGCGTCACAGATTGTTCTCTTAGACTCCCTGCGGGCCATTTGATATTTTTCCCAGTTCTCTAAGCTTTTACACCTAAACTAACTTTTATAACATAACTTCTTATATTTAATCTTTTCTTACACATTATTATTCCACTACCAACTATTTTTACTTATAAAAACTTTTTCTTTTGATTCTTCAAGCACATCTTTTGCTACTTGTTTAATATTGTTTGTTACTTTATCCCACATAACATTTGCTTCTTCTTGAACATCCCAAATTTTGA